GTGTTCATGTCGACTCGGGGCGAGAGCGGCAGGTGCGGCGGGCCTTCCTTTTGGGACTCCACAATTTAGCGCGATTCAGCTGCGGCGCCCGGCGCCTCTAACTCGATCTTGCCCGGGCCCGCCCCGCCCCCGCCTCACCCCGCCCCGCCTTCGGGCGCCTGCCGCCCGCCGTGTCCGCGCGCGACGAAGACAATTTGCGCGCGAAACGGGGAGCGAAGGCTCAGCGCCGCCGGGGGGAGGGGGGTCAGAGGTGCCAACCCTCCGCCGTAGGCGCGAAGGAGCTGTGCGCAGACAACGAAACATTTTATGAACATTCAGCACTATCGAACAGCAGACAATTTCTTTACAACTCGAAATGTTTGTGACCTCGTTAATATCACTTTTACCCATGATTCTCTTCTGCAAATGATGCTCAATTTGAACCTCCTGATGACAATATACAAAAACTCATATCGTTTTCATTGCCACCTTCAAGATTCAAAGAGATACTGTACGACTTATATTCAGCGAAGAAGTGTTTTGATCCCATATCATACCTCTTAGAGCGGTTCTATTATTTAACTGTGTTCAACCGATTCATGATGTTTGCTCATTTTCATCTACAGAGATAGCCAAAACGGAAATTCAATAGTTGAAGGCATGTATCTTCAGAATTTGAGTATGGGGCAATACATTTATTTTCCAAGAGATTCATTACACTTTTTATGAGTAAATATTAAGAAATAAAAGTATATAATTAAACAGTTACTCATTATTGTACTTTTGCTATTTTTCCTTAATTTTTATTGATGATTTATGTCGAAAACAACTAAAATGTTTGTAATGTTTGTAGGAAGAAAGACAAATGTCATCGGAACTCGTAGTTAATGTATTCCTGAATAAAAGTATACTGTTCTCTATAATGAAAACGTACACCTAATTACTGACAATGTTTAGAAGCAAGAAAAATATTTATAGTTAATAAAATTAAATTTTAAAGATGTGTATGTTTTGGTTAAAACAAAATTTGTCCAGAGGAAAGATATGCTTTTTTAATTTCACGATGATGATTGTATTACAAATCTTCAAATATCTTTCAAAAAATCATGCTTATAAATGAAATAAATTAAAATACTTCCAATTTTCATATAAATATTATTTTAATTTATGTTTTATGAAACTGTAGTTTTAGTATAAAGATACATTTATTTGATCTGCAAATGGGCATAACGCGGTGGCAGCTAATTACATAAATAAGATAACAATTATTATCCTTTTAACAACGAACAATATCCATTTTGATTCCATGATCTCATAAGTGCTTGTGTTAGTACTTTACACGTCGTTGCAGTTGTGCTTAACTGAGCTCAATTTCTGTGTCGCAGGGGCACGGTGTTCCGGGAGCTGCACAAGCTGTACGTGAAGCACGCCTGCCAGGAGTACCTCGAGAACTGGCCGCAGCTCGTCAAGTACTGCGGCTACAGGTGCACACGCATTTTGTATCTGTTGGGGCTTTATTAATTTATTGCATTTGTCTTTCACAGGGTGTTCTCAAGGAGTCTCCGTTCTATTGAGCTCCTCAAAATTTATCGGAGTTTCTGTCATTTGTGACACTTAAAATACAGTATTTGAATACAAGTATATAAATAACAATCTTCACTGTAATTTATGATAGTATCCCTATGGTTCGATAACAAACTTTTATGGTAATCTGCGTGAAGTGATAACTACTCGCATATTAAAGAAAATTGATGAATTAATATAAAATAAAGTACAATAAAAATCTGTTTGAAACACCATGCGACAGTTTATAAAAAGAGTTTAGGCTTAATAATAATAAAATTAATAATAATAATAATAATAATAATAATAATAATAATAAAATAATATGCCTTTATTGATATGGCGAGGCTCGGGCCATCAGGCCCGTTCTTCCGCCTAACCACATGTCACATATAATGAAGTCAGAATCAATTTTTTTCTTTAAAATTCTCAAGTTTGGGTGTGTTTACGTGTACTCAATTGGTGAGTCGTATTGGCCTGTCCAGCTTGATACGAATTTGTACTTTAGTACGAGTATTTGGGAGGTGGGAGAGGAGAAGCGGCGGCGACCCCTACCAGACCTCAGCGAGTCGGCAGCGTGGAAGGCTTTGGTACGACTTTGTTCTCTCTATGATCTGCAGAGTGTAGCTCAGGGCCGCAGTTGTGGGCCACTGTGCGAATGCCTATTTCATTTTCATCTAATTTGTGCTATTTCATTCAATAAAATAAATAGATGCGCCGTATGTGTGGTGCACGTTACAGCCACGAGGTGGCGGTGTTCGCCCTGCTAGAACGAAATATCTTGCGCCGACCTACACGTCAGCTGTTCCACGCCAACTATCGTTACCCCTCACAAAGCAATATGTCAATCTGCCTCAATGTATGTTTACTACTTAATAAAGTTGAAAATGCTTCTTTTTAATTTTTAAACAAAATTTCTAACATGAAAAATTATCTTAAACTTTCCTTTCTAACTGCAAGCGATACAAAAGAAAGATGGGAATTTTGAAAGTTCCTTAATAAAATATCCCCAATGTTTTTAAAACCACAAAGATACATTGTTGGAATTAAATCTATTTTTAGGACAAAATGTAGAACAGTTTTGTGTAATCCACGTGACTCGCAGCCAGTTGCATTTCGGATGTGCAAATTTAAAAACAAACAAATAAATTTTTTCACGCCAATATGTCCCCCTAAGAGACGACAAACGGAGTTCCCTGCAATTCCAACCAAGTAGATCTTAACTGGTTTATCATTTTTCTCGCATGTGCAAGGTAGTAACGCGTGCACCACACTTTGAGGGGCCAACGTTAATTATTGGTAGCGACAGCTTTATTAGTTATTTAAATTTTTAAAAAAATTTGTTTAAAAATGAGAGTTTACTTTTTGTGGAAGTATTAAGAAATGAAGTTGTTACGAATAAAACAACCTTTTAATGTGAATTTTCGAGAGCGACTTGCGCAGGATCTCAGGAGCCCTGTATACCAATTCAAGTAGATTCCCGGGTCCATACATCTTACGGTTAAAGCAACACCGTAAAGACGATCGACGTCCCCCGCAGCATTTGGATAATTCACGTAAGGAAACATAGGGGCAGGACGGGCCTCACGCCACGCCGGAGCACCTGATTTTTTCTTTTATTTTAGGCCGATAACGAAACTACTTTTGCGAGACGCGAACCTTGACCCGGGGGCGGATCACCGCTTGATCTCGTGTCCATTCTCACCGCTGAAACTTAGCGGGGCGTGATCTGTTCTAGCTATAAATGCGAAGGGCGTTTGGAGTGTGCACTCTTCAGTCATTTCCTACATCGAATACATCGTACTTCCGTCAGCAATTACGAGAGTGGTGTTACAACTTTAGCTTTGTTGTTTCGTGGACTTTGGACATGGTCTTGCAGCCATATTTGCTTCGTTCTGCCGCGTGGTGCGGTGTTGTAACCAGTTTGTCATTACCTGGCGCTGTCGTTCTTCGATAAAGTCGCTTGGCTCAAACCCAATTACGGTTTTTATGGTTCACTATGCAATTGTACTCAACCAGCGAAACTTATCGGCGCATAATACCCTTTCACGCACTATACCTTCGCGAATTCGCGCCAGTGGCGTCTCCTGGCCAGTGAGCAGGGGGATGCGATCAGAGTTTTACGGAATAAACAAGGTAGATTAAAGTATCTAATCGACATCGTACGACATGTTTACGTAATCCATATTACGATGTACACACCTACTGTACCGTATTTGAGTATCTTCAAGAATTGCTAATTTTGTGTTGTTTGCTCTGTCAGCAATAAACAAAATTATACAAAAAAGTACACTGAAACATGAACAATACACCTAATTACTTAATTAATAGCCGATTTGCAGTCATCGTCTAGCGTACTTGAGAATTCAATAAAGTTTTCGAAACCTCTCAAAGAAAATTGGGACTTTTTACTCACCGTTTTGTGCCTCGTGTAACTCATCCTCTTTTATAAACCATCTGTATCGTTTGTATCGTCCTTGTATCGTTTCACACTAAATTGTTGGCTCGTAATTCTCGTGTTAGTTTCAAAAATATGTTTTTTCTTTGTGGAGGTCATGTTATTCTCATTAACGCAGTTTCGCTGAGCACTTTCGCAACAACCCAAAATGCACGTGAAAAACCTGGCAACAAAGAACTATCAGACGCGTGCGGTTGTTTGTCAGTACTGACGAAAGCAAGAAATTTGCTGTCAGATAAGTTATCTTTGTCATTATTAAGTAATAAGTATTTTCATGTTAATGTAAATGAGGTCACCAGATGTAATTATTATAGAAAACACATTTAAATAAACGATCGCTGGTTAATGAGGTAGAACATATCTAAGTTGACCGCAAGTGGATGAAAAAAAGTATTGGAATTCACTTTTCCTATATTGTTTTTATTAAACCTACTCTTTTTACACGTCTTATCCTAAACTCACTGCAAACTTGTATGTTTCAGGGAGGACAATATTCCACAGCTAGAGGACGTGAATCGGTTCCTGAAATGTGAGTCTTAAAAAATATTTAATACTGTATAAGCATAAATGCTGAATGGTATATAAAGTTTCGAATAGCCGGTCCGGATGGCCGAAATCGTTAAGGCAGTAGTGCCGTAGCGATCTCGGACCGAAGGATCGCGTGTTCCAGTCCCACATCGGGCATGATTGTAATTGTGTTCGTCTTGTCACCCCCTTATCATCAACATATCATGTTATCTTCATAGTTTTCATATCGTTAAATGCAATAGTCGTCGCCAATGACCTAGATGTGGATGCGATCTTAAATAACAGCTAACAAAATGTTTCGAATAAGCTTTTCACAAAAATATCTCATTTGAAATGCCTAATAATCGCGTCGTGAACAAAAGCTATCTGAATGATATGCTTACCTGCCTCATGGTAATAAGATAGCGCATTTATAACACCGATTAAAAATTTGTTCTCGCAATTTATTTTAGTTTATAATCCATACGTACTAAAAACCTTACTTCCCGTTGACTGATCACACATACACGCACGCACACTCGTCACCCGTGTGGGCGTGCGTGCATGTTCCCTGCAAAACCAAAGTCGTCTGCTAAATGATAAAGCAAGGTTCATCAAATGAGTTCTGGCCAGGAAAGCAAGCGCGCTGCGCTGCGAGGTGCAGGGGCGAGCGCATCGCCGAGGGGCTGCACGGCGACCTCCAGAGCGCAGCCCTAGCGTCTGGGCGCTCGCCGCCGCTAACCCGCTCGAGTGTTTGCGCGTGGGCTCGCCCCCCTCCCCTTTCCTCCCTCCTCCTCCTCGCCATTCACTCCTCGGCTCCTCGCCCTCTGGCTCCGAGCCTCTCCATCCTCTCCGCACCGCCTCCCCCCTCCCCCCCCCACTGATGACGCAGAGGGGAAATTTTAATTGCTCGAGCTTTCTTACAAAACCTGGACGACCAACTCTGATAGACTTTCTTGTAGTTCTATCACCGACACGACGAAAATATGTATTCATCTGATAACGTTTTGAGGTACGCAATACTTTAGTTAATAATGAAAATAACCGTTATTCATGCAGTGAAATGACGGTATCCCGAATCTAAAAGAGGAAAATATTCGAGTTATAAAATATTTTCCTCTAACGAACTTCCTGTTACCGAAACAAATAATATAAGAGTTCAAGATATCTAAAATATAATCTTAGATTGTTCATTTTTCTACCTTAAGTTTATTGTTACACTTTCGCAAAACTTATAAGATACTTCTCTTCCTCTCTCCCTCTCTATCTCTCTCTATCTCTTTCTCATGTAATTAGTGTTCTGTGTTTTTAGTTTTCCTAAATAATATTATGAGTATCGCAAAATCAACGCACTTCTTTTAAAACGTATTAAACGACCTTAAAGGTCGCATTGTACCAAAGGCCAATTCCGCATACAAAATGCTGTCACAGACTGAGTGGCTCAATGCTCAGATCAGTCACTTTGGATTTGTTCAGCTAAATCGAACGAGCACTGTAGTACATCAACGTCAACTCCCGAGATAATATTAACTACCTTTAAAGTAAATGCTCATTTAGCCACCTTCAAATTTATTAATTTCCACAAAATTTCGTCTCCTTCGCTACGAGTGTGGGATGCATTCTCTAACTCCCCCTTGACCCCTTGACGTTTTATCCACGTTTTCTTTAAATTTGAAAGAATATCACGCTCTACGTAAATGTGATGCAGTACATATTTGATTTAAGTTAATTTAACTTTTTTTCTAACACGGCAAATAGTATGTTGTGGAAAGTAAATGAAGGTCTTGTGCAATGGGAAATCGAGTACTCACCTATACGTTATCCTCTACACTTTCGGTCATCGAACAGAACTTTACTAATCCTGCAAGAAAAGTAATAATTTTTTTAAACTTCGTCGAAGCTAACTGAGACGTACTGTGAAGGGATGCGACATCGATATCGATGTTTTCAAAACATCGATATTTTCATACAAACATCGCTGTATTTAACATCGATTTATTTGTGTCGCTGTTTCTTTAAATATATGTTATGAGATCGATGTTTTTACTCGGTATTTTAATTTTGAATGAAGAAATATAACAATAACAACTACTATAATTTTCAGATATCCACAATTAGAATATTCCTCAGACCAAAGTCACAAAGGATGAAAAATATGTTAGTCGAATTTGTGCTGATAAACATAGCGCATTATGTTTGTATTATTCAATATGATAAATGTTTTGTTAATTGTTTTGAGAATTTTAGACTGTGTTTTACGAGTTAAATCTCAATTATAAATTAATAAACACAACCATCGTGACCTACAATTCCCTCACCCGCAAGGGAACTCTGATATTCGTGATTACTAAAACATGTTTAAAAATGATGTTTTTTTGCGAAGTTTAAAAACGTCGTTGGTTTTTGTGTCGATATAGTGTGCAAATCTTTTATTTTATCGATTTTATTATTATTATTGTTGTTATTATTATTATTGTTATTATTATTAATTGCGTACTTTTAAAATTTGAACAAGAATATTTCAAAACTCAAAAGCTTTATTGTTAATGTGGCGTCGCTGGCCGTGTGGTGTTGCAGGCAAGACGGGCTTCCAGCTGCGGCCCGTGGCGGGCTACCTGTCGCCGCGCGACTTCCTCTCGGGCCTGGCCTTCCGCGTGTTTCACTGCACGCAGTACATCCGCCACTCCTCCGACCCCTTCTACACGCCCGAACCGTGAGTGCGCACCCATCACCCCTCGCAGCGCCATTCGCCAATGGTGTACAAGCATTCGCCGGAAAAATTAAAGTTAGCTTGTAGAAATTAATCGATAAACGTAAAAAATAATAATTTTTGAAGCCATTTGGCACTTGCAAACATGTATTAATACAACTACTACTAATAAAAATATCAACAGTATAACAATAGAAGTAAAACAGTAACAATACAATAATACACACAATAATCAACCAATACATAACCATACACCGGTTAGCCAGCTTGGAAAGATTCTACTTCCAACGCGGTAGACACACGCACCTTAATAGAGGGGATCACAAGACCAAAATTCAATTCAGGTCCCAGAGAATAAATATTTGAAAATTTTCCTTTAATAGAGAACAGTAACGGACTAGAATAAGTTGCCAAATACCGTCATTGAACCATTTCCTTTACGTGGTTCAAAAGTAAATTAATTAATATTATTTGTAAATGTTAATAATTAAGGTAGGATTATGAAAACAATTTTTGTTATTACTAACAATTGCATTGTTTTATTAACTACATAAAGTAACAATTTTTAATTTCGTGTTTTTATTGAACTGTTATTTCGTGTTGTGAAGTGAGGTGTAATAAAAATTAAGCAAGTTAATTGAAATATAAGAGTGTTGTGAAATGGATTACAATGTAGTTAGAAAGTCAAGTGTTTAATAGTTTAAAATACCGATATATAGCTATATAAATTTAGAGTTCACGATACTACTGGTAATTATTTATTTTATTGTTATTATCAACGTTACTATTGTGGTCGTTATTATTTTAATTTGTATTATTTTCAAATAATTCAAAGTTATATAGTATTAATATTCTTAATTGTAATTGTAATTATAATTATAAAGTGTAGTGTTGTGTCACCACGTTGCATAAGTCTATCTGCAGAAAAAAAATATCAATCTATCTGTATCTGCAATAACACTAACAATAGTAATAACAATAACAGCAACAATTCCATCTTAGTGTTCGGATGGTCGATCTGGAGTTCTCCCGTGATCTCAAGAGACGGTCTTATAACTACTGGTACGGCCACCTTTGAAGAACTGATGGATGACAAGGGGGGCAGACGAATTAACCCAGACTCAACAGTTTAGTTAGGCTCAATAGATATGCTCAACAGCTTCTTCAAAGAAGAAGAACAACGGTCTTTGGCGGGGTGAAAATGGCGGAAAGATGCATATTCGAAAATCTAATTGCAGCGTCTGGGTCAGCGCAGAGAGCGTGTCTTCACATTAGGGGAGGCTGTGACTACAGTGAGAAATAAGTAGAGAGGAAAAGTCTCTTTCTTCATTGACCCTTAGACCATGGGCGTAACTTTAGTTGGTGTCACCCGGGGAAAAACTAATGGTATCACCCCTCCCCTGATAAATTAAATGTAGAATTATCTATTTGTGAATAGTTAATACATTATTGAATAAGAATACAAGTATATTTGCACATGACATTTATTTACAATATATTAAAAACGATGTAATTCACAATAATTGAAACATAATTTTAAATAAATAATCTAAAACAAAGTATAACTGATTAACAAATGAATATTTTTTTATAAAAATACTTTTCGATATTTACGGGCGGCAAATTTATCTATAATTTTATTACAATTATTATTTTTAAATAAATCATTAAAATTACATAATTTCAATATTTTTTTAAATTGGTGTCACCCCTAAAATGGTGTCACCCGGGGCGGACCGTCCCCCTTCATGCCTCCCCTGACTACGCTACTACCTTAGGCTACCCTTTATCGGCGCACGGAGAGTTTTGGAGATAAATTGAGCTGGCACACCAGACCAGTGTTAGAGAGGAGGTCCCAACCTTGCATTGGAGACTGCCTCCAACACGCATCGGGTTTTCTAACGCCTTCAAGGGGTTTTTCAAGGGGTGGCCCGAAACCATCCTGTAATCGGAACCTGAATTCGGAAATCGAAACCATCGCAGAAATGGATGACAGGAAATAATGATTGGACTTAGGATGATGCATGTAAACTCGAGCATGGTGTCTGTGATATTTAAAACACTCGAAACCAGAGCAAAATGCATATAACAAGAAAGAGAGCGAACTTTGACATGCCTTGTTGTATCATCGCTCAGTATCTACTCAGAAACAGAGCTAATGACTCCTTGATGACGTCTGACCATTTACGTTGCTTACGTTAGTACAAAGTACTCGGACCCGACGGAAGGTCGAAGCCATCGTCAGAGATAAATACAGAATGAATTAAAGGAGTCGATGTGGTGTTTTTGCTTTGAAAAAGCGGGAAGTGGTCGTTTGTAAATATAAGTTTTCAAATAAGTCCTTATCATTCTCTCCTGTAACTTCTATATTCAACTTCGGAAAAACATATAACCAACGCCGACGAATCAACTCTAAATTCCCAAAGGATAAATTTAAACCGCCTTAAAGAGCAACGCATGATTTCTCAAACTTACTTTCTGTTAACTTTTTTCTTAACTTAAAATAACTTTTTTCATATCTACACCACTATTTTCCCATTTTCATTGAACACAATAACTTTTGATTATTGAGGTCTCTAGTGGGACTATCCTCGCTCTCCAGTTGGTGACTCTTACTGCTACGCGTGCTAAGTTGCAGCTCTTATCACTCTTATACGCTTGCCTTGCTGAGTAAGAAAATGTAAATAAAAAAATACGGAGTGGAACCCACTGAAGATACTATCAACTACTCTATATTCAATCACGTTGGTCAGAAAACGGCGATACCCTCAGTGGAAAATTCACGGCAAAACATATTCACGGAAGTATGCAGTGTGCAATGCCATAAAACTATTCTTCCGAGGATTGTTTAAGAGCCATCTACTGCTTCTGAAAACGATAACTCTGATGAAGCCCTATCTCTTTCCAATGAAACTCCTATCAGTTCAATACGAAAATTCCTCTCATTTTAAATTACACTATTTAAACATTAAGTCAAATTTCCTTCGACGTGAGATAATACAATGAGTTCGCTTTCTTCCTTTCGAAACTCGTGCACCATCAGAGAGAAAACTCAGGGCTTGGGGGAGGCATGACAAGATCGTGGGCACGGAAACTAGCTTACTTGAGTTCTCAGCCACTGAGTTCAGACTGAGATGAGATTTAAAAGAAAGGGTTGTGCAAATGGCTCCGACGTGGCGGTACATTGCTGGATGACATTCTGCCCACCTTTTGGGGAAGTCAGTTGTATATTATTCTCCCAAATTTAGACACATTAATTATTATTTCTTATCCTACAAATGCAAAAAAATGATCCATTAAAATTAAATAAAAACTCAGTGAGATTTCAAATTGACAATTCTGAGTAAAATTAAACATTTTTAACCGAAAATAGCTTGATTTCGTAATATTTACTTAAGAGAGCAATATTTGAATTAACATCCTGCATCCAGATGAGGAAGTTTAACAAAGATTCTTTTCTGTTAAATGACCTGTCCTCCCGTCAGTGAACATTTTTAAGATAGAGAAATGTTTGACTTATTTTACAGTATTGCTGTATTCACAAAAAACTGAATGATTCAATAAAGCAAACACAAAACAAAAGTATGGAAATAATTCGTCATTCAAACATATTCCTGTAACGTGGCAAACGTGTTTATAAAAGGCGGAATTTAAAAAGAAAATAAACTTGAAATAGTAATAAGTAGTAAATAATACAAAAATAGGTAATACAAATCTAGGTTGTTTGATAGAATACTTCTGGCAAACATACTTTCATGTGAAGCCACTATACCCTGCGTGGCTCCGCTTGAGCTTGCGGCTGTACGTCCATTTCTGGATTTGAAAGGGAGTCAGGGGAAGTTGCCGGTGCCCGTAGAAGTGCCGCGCGCTTCCCATGCAGGCAAGTAGCTCGTGAGAGCACGATTTGGCAAGCCTGACTTCGAGAGTGATAGAGACTGCGAATGCTGTATTAAATGAGGAGCCACAGCCTTCTCGTGAGAGGTCTTGAAGTCAAAGAAATCGTTGATTATTTTCGGGACATAGAACGCACGCCTCTAAAGTCCAAGGAAGAATTTTGCATCTGCATCAAAAATATTAAATAACGGATGATCCCAAAAGAAAATGATGTTTGGAAACCACAAGAGATATTTAAAAATGGTCGTTAGAGAGTAAAATTAGCAGCAGAATTTTATCCGCACAGAACACATGTGGGGAAATTTTCTTTTACAAATTGAACGATAAAAGAATGGAATAGATTGCCTGCAAAAACCTTTGAACCCTTTCCTCGAAGCGTTCAACAGTTTAGGAAATTAATTTAGGGTATTACTAAATAAATGAGGGACTTAACTGAGAATAGTAGGTCATAGAGCGATGCTTAAGTAATATACTGTGAAGTGAGGTATCGTGCAGTGTAGAACAGAGAAATAATGTAGGAAGTGATTAAAGGGTCATAGTGAAGTGAAGTGAAGTGCAGTTGAACCAAAATTCAGTGCGGAGTTAGATTATAGATGCTTCTGTTTTTAGGTAATTTAAATGTGATATGATTTAGACAGTCTTTTTTTAAAATTATTATTTTCATTATTAATATTATTTTTATTATTGTCGTTTTATCAGCTGTTTTTATTGTTTCTATGATTATTATTGTACCATTACTATTATATAATTTGCATGTTAGCTGTATTATCTTATTTATGAAATTAGCTGCCACCGGGTTATTCTCATTTGTAGTTCAAATAAATTTATCTTTATCTTTAACACGACGTTTTCGGTGAAACGAGTTTTGCGAGAAGCGTTGCTTAAAAAGGAAGTCGTGCACGCTACGGATTGCGGAATAGAGAACTGTGTGAACGAAAAAAATTGAAGTTAGATACAGGAGGGACAGGCATGGATTAATGCACATCAAGCACCTGCTTGGGGATGCTACGGGACTCAAATTTCTGGCCATGAACGTTTTTATATAAATTATGTTTATGAATTCATAATTATATTTGTTAAATTCATTCAATATTAAATGTTTGAATGGCAACGGTTATAGATTATGTTTTTAAACTTTTTATTGCATGTGTTATGTTCAATATATTAATATTTGAGAGTCCAATAGTTCAGTATTGCTTGCGACTTCTTAAGATATTAATCAACCCTGGAGTTTCGTGAAGGCCCTCTCCCACTGCCCGAGGTACCTACCGGTTATATTTGCCGTCACAAAAATCTGAAACACGTAACTGAGAGCTTGCAACAATAGTAAGTGCAAGTACAACAACATTTCATATTGTTAATGAAGTCATGTCTACAACATCTTTTTGCTTCGATTTACAAAATATGTAAGTATTTTCCAGATTACGTCAGGAAAGTTACTTTTAACCTCGTTTCGGCTGTAAAATTAATGTTTTGTATAATTCTACCAATTTATAACTTTCGTATTTTTAAACGTCGCAATTCTCTTTATTCTGAATTTTCAGACAAGTACTTTTTTATATAGATGAATTAAAACTAATAGTGCATATTCTTTGCTTCTTTGATTAGACAATATTCTTGAGCTGTACAGTATCTAGGGCTGTCCCACTTGCCTATGAGGTCCATTCGTCATATGAACATGTGTAAGCTTTTGCAGCTGTCTCTGGAAGAGCTCGTGCGTGCATTCTAGATCTTGATTCACAGGCGCCCGTACGAAAGGGAGCGCCGGCGGTTAGTCGACCGCCCTTGGGGCAAACTGAAACAACTTCTAATGTTGAAACCCCTGAAATAACTTTTCCTTGGGGATGTCTCCAAAATAATGAAACAAAGATTCATAAAGATTAATAAACATTCATAAACAAAGATTAATAATATTGAGGCACTAATAAAATGTAACAATTCATTTCTAATTACCGATAAGCATAATGCGTAACTTGTTAATGAAATTTTATTTATAGCACACAAGAAGGTTAAAACGTTCGAATACTCAAAATTAGTATATCATACAAATATAAAAATGGCATTAATGGCCCCTCACGTAATTAACAGTATCTCACATTCACTAATTATTCGTTAGATTTTTAACACAATTGCTCAGGGGTTCTTGGCTCCTAAAATAGTAAAACAAAATGAAAGTGAGATCCTGGCTTTTGTTTGTGATTGATAGTCAACCTAAACAGTGTATGCGCGATATGTGTGAATATCATGTAATACATCGTAATGAAACGATTTGGAGATAAAACTACGTTTTCAATGATCTATGCGTTTGTTAAAGTAAAATGAAGTTAAAAATTACGTGAATTTTTCGCATCACTTTCAATAATTTGAGGTTTTTTTGTAATACAAGACCATAAGAAGATTCAACCCAGGATTCCAGTGTGTACCTCGTATCTTGCCTGTGCAGAGACTGCTGCCACGAGCTCCTGGGCCACATGCCGCTGCTGGCCAACCCGTCCTTCGCGCAGTTCTCGCAGGAGATAGGCCTGGCGTCGCTGGGCGCCTCTGATAACGACATCGACAAGTTAGCAACGGTGAGTGTCTCACCCAAAGTGCCTGCCAACGAAACGCCCACACCCCTCGACTGGCCTTCAAACCGTTTTGTAAAGATATCATTTCACCTAAAAAGAAACAAACAAATCAATCCAGAGTAAATAAAATAGCGTTTGCTAATCGGAATTCAACACCGTCAAATATATATATTTTAATTATATTTTAAATCTTTAGAAATATTTGATTTATATAACCTTTTTTTCAAATTTGGAAATTCACAGCTGAATGTTTTGTTTCCCTATACGTCTGAATATATTACATTTTGATGAAAGCATTCAAATATATTTTATACGTCCTTAATTCGCTTCTAGTTTCCGTCCTGTAGTTTGTATTTAAAATTGACAATTTAATAAATAATTCGTCGATGCCGTTGATTCTGAGATAACACTGGGAGAAATGTTTATTTATTGTTATTTATTTATTTATCGTCATTAACAGTAAATACAGTTTGCGACTGCGTGCACATATATGCGTGTGTGTGTGTGTGTGTGTGTGTGTGTGTGTGTGAGTATGTGTGTGTGCGTGCGTGTGCGCGTGGTGAGGGAGTACAACTCACGCATGTTTACGTGAACGTTGGAATCCTCTCCTTTACTGCACTTACAATTTGTTGAATTGTGAATAGAGGTATTGCCGAGCGCAGCTGGGAATATTTCGAAACAAAAAATGTTTCCTACTGTTAATGTAAATTGGAATTTTGTCATTTACAATTTACAATAATGTCAATTATAATAGCGCTATTGTTATGACTTAAATTACATCATCAAATGTACGTATAAACCATTTGAATGAAGGTGTTGTGTTAATAATAAGAATAAATTAACACGAATGTTCATGTTTCAAAATAGAATATAGCTTATCAATTCAATAAATACAAAGACATCAGTGGACCGTTGTATCAATGAGGATGGGATTCATTGACCAAACTATAGGCTTCATTGAAACAATAGGAGGCGCTGTCATTGACATTTTGATCACCGTCCACAGTGGCTCTACTACTGGTGAATTAATTACACTATTTACTTCCCTATTCAAGAGCAACGCAAATAGTTAATTAAATATCTTCCTGGCAGTCAATGCAGTCTCGATATCGAAACATTGTTAAATGTCAATGCATGAACATCATTTGCACACAGAAACGGCCTTGAAAATGGGTTTGGAGTTCCACAAACCTTTTAAACACCCATTTTTCGCCTTTTGAGCTAAGTTTTAGGAACTAAGGAGTAAATATTATTTAATAGTGTTTTTCAAAGAATTTTTGGCTGACATGATGCCAACTATATTCCATAACAATGTCCTGATTAAAAAAAACAACAACTTATTCTAGTCAAACAGTGTGCCACTTTAGTCGGAATATGGCTAATTTTTAATAAAAAATAGAGTTTTTCAAAGGCCAAAGCTTCATGGATTTCCGAAATACCTTTAGTTCACATAAAGTAAAAGCTTGAGATCTCTATTTTAAGAATTAAGTTACGCACAATTTAACTATTTCACCTCATCGGCCAACATTTGCGACGCGCGCAGTAGGTGCATCTCTATTTAACGACGCGCATTTGATCCGTATTTGAATGGATATATTTCGCGTTTTTAGTAAGACATAGAACTACGAATGGTAAGAAAATATTTAAGCAAAACAAATATTAACTTAAAGAGGAATCAATGTAAAATTTAAATAATTTCCGAGAGGATAAATGAGGGAGTGTAAATTGTTCAAAAAATTAACGTCGAATTAACATATTTAGTTTAATGGTTAATTAATTAAACAATTTTAAAGAAACTGAGCTATTCTTCAGAGCAGTATAGCACTGAAGAAGGCCACAGCAAGGTGGCCGAAACGTCAGTACAATTGACCAAGACGCGGCTCATCTCGGAGAGCCAAGAATGTATTTAAAGAAACTGATTTTAAGCTGGATTCTTATATCTGATTTTAATGTGATCTCTGCAATTTTATTTAAATATTAATATACAGTGTAAATTTGTAAATACACTTGATCAAGACCGACCAATGTGTCGTACAAACTTGCTTCATTTACATTTTCGAAAATAGCCAGAATGATTGTATTCTTTCAATATTTTTGGATGATGTTTGATTACGGTTTTGTCAGAACAACATCACGACCGAACAAAATACTGCAAAAGCAAGAAAACGCATTTTTCACTTCGGAAACATGTGATAATGCTTGTTATCATAAACGTCAAAATTCAATGGTAGGTTGAAGAATTTCATTTGCACTTAACTAATTTGAGAGATTTTAAGAAGTAATGTCGGCCCCCTAAGGCATTCGATTTCTTTGTTTTCTTTTGATAATAATGGACCCCATAGGGACAAATTCACTGAATTAATTTTGATGTATACATTTGTCCTCTGTTGGTCACAAAATAATTATCCACCATAATGATGTGGCTGTATTATAATTCGGAATCAAAAATACGGATATCATTCTGGTGAAAGAAATCGCTCAATTAATTATTTTTGACATACTGAAGGTTCAGTATTTTTATTACTATACATACATCTACATATCTATATACATTACTATATAGATCTTTATTAAAAAAAGACAGTCAGTTCATACAGGACTGTTTACATAAATATGTTCGTGCGTACACATGTGTTTATTTATACATACACGTGTTCATGCACATAGGACAGTAGTATTTAATTTTTATCTGATTAAAAACGAAAATTTTACAACATTAACGGTTTCTATAATTATCATCTTCTCTTCACCTTGTTGGACGCAAATACGCTCGGAGAATATATTCCGCAGACGTAAAGAAATCCAAATTGTGAACATGTTACTGAGTAACAACGTATTTCAATAATAACATTTGTTCAAAGAATTAGTCGCCTCGAGCGGTTATTTAACGTCGGTTCAGAAACTCCCTTATTGTAACCATCAAAGTGAATCATACACGATTTTAGCAAGTTTTTTTTAAACATTATAAGCTAACAGGCCCATTTATTTATTCATATAAAAAATTGATTGTGTGGTCTGGAAGGAGCCCGGATCCAATGAATCCGAATTATGGACGTTCTACTATTCTTTTTATTTTTGTCTTTATTTATTTTTGACAAACAATTTTCAGTAGGTAGTAAAGCCCCTACTATCTTCCAATTGATTTTTGGAGGGAAAAAAACCCTCCATTTTTGTCATGCGTTGCGCAGCTGTACTTCTTCACGGTGGAGTTCGGGCTGTGCAAGCAGGACGGGCAGCTGCGCGTGTACGGCGCCGGGCTGCTGTCGTCCGTGGCCGAGCTGCGCCACGCCGTCTCCGCCGCGCACAAGACGAAGCGCTTCGACCCCGACGTCACGTGCCGCGAGGAGTGCATCATCACGGCCTTCCAGAACGCCTACTACTACACGGACTCCTTCGAGGAGGCCAAGGACAAAATGCGGTGAGAGAAGTCGGCGAAGCGCGCGCTCCGAATCGCCCTTCAGTTCGGGCAGGAGCCGAGTCAGGTCTACGGTGTTGCAGAAAGCGCTTTGTAGTTGCGCTTTCAGAAATGTCAAATGCGAAGCGCATGTTTATGAAGCCACCATTTCCATTCAGCATACTTCATTTTCTTATGTCGTTTATTGCACAGTTGGAGTTGTAAACGGCCCGAACCTGTAAGCTCCGAGCGAATGCGTTCGCTCCCGAAACGAACGAACCAACCGAACGTTTGCTCGCTTCCGCCAACCGAACTCGTCTGGGTGACATGATTCTCTGGGGTTTTCTGTTTCCATCGGCCGAGCGAATGAATAATTGTTCTTTTGGAAGCGTTCGCTCGTGCAATGTAAACGCACCGTTAGAATCACCGGTGTATTCGCCTCTCAACACAAGTAATGAATGTGTTCAGAAGAAATAGAGATAGGCGTTTCCAACCGTCAAGAAAGTATATTCGAAAACAAGGCATGTACTCTCCTCCGGAACTAATAAAAATTACTCATTTTCTGAGGTTGACGAATTAAGTAGACCGCGCGCGGGTACTTGCGTTAAAACACTGCGCGAGTAATTGAGTGTTAATATTTCCGAAGTGACAAGACAAGTCAGCAAGAAGTGCTCAAACAGCACATACTTTCTCGTAACTATTGTAACGGTAACGTAAAAGAATATTGCAACATCTATCCTACAATCACTTGCCCTTTCGCTTGAAAAATATTTAACGACGCCTAAGATGCAAGAACAAAGTGAATGTCTAAATGTTTTTCAATAGTTTTTAATAAAATGCACTTCTGCAAATGAATTCTGGGTATTGTGCTATACTTACAAAAATCTTCAAGAAACAAAATAAAACATCTTCCGCGGGTCCGAATTCGTATCTATCAGTAAGATCATCAGCTCTTACATTCAAGCACTTTAACATATAAGGTAACTGATATTCTCCAATGTCAAATGAAATTTGGCGTCAAACTTCAGTTGGTTTCACATACTCAGAACGTTATCGACAATTAATGACACTAATTATCAACAATTCGAACTTGTCTATATTGTCTAGAAGTTTGAAGAAAAAGTCATACTAATAAGATGTGTAACTGCTATGTAACCAACTCCCCATGGTAAAGTAAATTTGAACTGCTTCCGCTAAGTCCATATTCTACCGCCCTGGAGGCCAATGAAAGAAATTATCGGACCCGAAGTTTGTTTACCAGATGCGATCGCGAAATCGCATCACACACGTGATTTGTTCCCATATCCGCAGTACGCAACCATCTCGAAGGTCACTGGCCTTGGAGCAGAATAGAACATAGGAAACGGGCGTGACTCTTATGGAGAAACCACAGTGTTCCAAAACCAGGTACTGTACAGCGATACAGTAGACTGAAGCGCTCAAAAACAGGACAACATAGTTTTGCATAGAGAAAATGAGAAACATACTGTAAAGATTAAAAATCATAAAATCAACCGAATAACGAAGGAATGAGACGCTTCATTCACATCCATTGACACTACACAAATACTCTTCACCCCGTAATAATCGCTCGATTTCGCACTAATGAAATGCGCCATTGGTACAATTCTAACCCCTTTTCCATCGCATTGTCGACAATTCACAATCTTATGAATAAATGTATTTATTACTGACATCCTCTTCCGCACAACATCCGCAAAAGTATTAATTGCATTACAGTAAGAAATCGAAAATACTAACAATGGAACAACCACATTCTACCTTACCACACGGCAGCAAGCAAGGGATTGCCTCAGTAAAAGTCTAAATCAGGATGTTACTAAAGGCCAATATAGTGTAAAGAAGGATAAAACATTAGATTCAAATGCATATTTCTGTCTGCGTTTTGATTGTTAACTGTATTTTGAATTGTATTATCTAGTACTAGGTAGGTCAAATATACAAATCGTACTATTTGGGTTGATATCAATATCCTAAAATGTTTTTCCTGCGTGTTTTACGCTTAGGACGTTCGCGGGGCGCATCCAGCGGCCGTTCGGCGTGCGCTACAACCCGTACACGCAGAGCGTGGAGGTGCTGAGCAACGCCGAAAAGATCGCGGCGCTGGTGTCCGAGCTGCGCGGCGACCTGTGCATCGTGAGCAACGCGCTGCGCAAGATCCACGAGCAGGACGAGACGGTGGACGTGGCCAGCCTCACGTCCATGCTGCACAAGGGCATCGAGCTGGACCCCTCCGCGGCGTCGGCCGCCCCGCACCAGGACCAGGGCTGCTCCTCCGCCGCCGCCTCCGCGCCGTCGTCGCAGCCCGACTCTCCGAACCCACAGTAGCCCCATCCCCCCCCTCCCACACCCCCGGGGCTGCCCCCAGCGCCGCGCCGTGGCCACTTCCTCGCTTCTCTGCGGGAGCTTTCTTGTAACGAAGCGCGTTCGTCGTAATACGCAGGCTCGCCGAGGCACAGGAGCCCTCGCGTTGTCGTAGAAATTAAGTTTAATACTGCGGCGTCCCGCCTGTCCGGTTGATGTCTCGTCGATTGCATTTGGCTTGCAGGCAAAATTACTTACGGAGGCCGAACGGGAGCATTCAGACTGTAGGCAATAACAGCATCGACAGCAGAAGCTTCAATTTGTAACTGTCATCTTTGCCGTGAACTATCCTTGTACTACGTTAATCTTTATTGACGCAAGAATACCAGTTAATCATGATAAAAAATTGAATTTTATCTACTCTGACTCCTTAACAAAATTATATTTGGTATTAAATTGTTCAAATTTCAAATACCCAAAAAAATCTGCTGGGATAGAGTGATACCAAATGACATATCCCAGCTATTAATGATTTCTTTTGAAGAAAATACAAAACATAAACTCAAATATTATTTCTGGAACAATTGAAATAAAAAAAATAAAAATAAAATATTATTAAATAATATTATATGCAAATGTTAAATAAATGACTCTTCCAAATCTACTACCTATAGATAAACTGAATAGCAACTCAGTTTCTTTAGGCTCACCTGATAATAGAATGGAGATATCATGATTAATACGTTACAATGAAAAGAATAAAAATGGCTTCACAAAGGACATAATTAAGTTCATTCACATACTTCCTCTAAACGCATATCCTCTTACAGCAATATATTAAGAATAGGAGTCTGCTTAACATTTGAAAAATAAAAACTTTTTTCACCTCTTTTCTTTTAGCCCTTATATTTTAATAAGGCAACTAAGTCATTACATTGTCTTGGCAGGTAAACTGAGTGATGCATTAGGTATAATGTTAAGTTTCTCTGCATTTTGTAGGAAAAAATTATTCATTTTTTTCCTATGTACATTTTATATTTTATTAATTAATTGTAGACAATTAATCAATATATTGTATTAGATGCAAGATAAAAGGCAAAGGAACAAACTCATTGATTAGCACTTTTTTTTGGCTTTCATCTTCTTATACTCTCAAATTATACAGCATCTGCACAAGTGCCCCCCCCCAAAAAAAAACAATAGGCAAAGATGTCAGATAGATTTCACATACTAAAATATCAAGACAGTATTTTCACATTGCATGGGACATGATTTACGTTAACATATTCTGCATACATGAAAGATTCCTTACAGTATTTCTCCTCTAGTACATAGATGATTGAAACAAAAATTATAATATGCAAATTACATTGTACATTAATATGCCATACATTATTGTACAATTTGCTCTTATAAAAATTGTAAATGTGATTTGTAGACAATATTTTTCTCCAAATCTGTAAATAAGATTTTTGGATTAAACAAATTGCTATTGGGCTTACTGATCGCAAGTAACTCTTTAAGAGTTCTTTAAATTTTTCCAATGAACCCATTTTTGAAGTCAGGGTGAAATAAAAATTGAATTTTGATGAGATGACAACAAACAAATTGGCCGTAATAAGAGAAGCTGAAATGAAATTTCCAGGAAAACACTAAATTTGTAGAAATATTTTTTCAAAATATAGATCATGATTTGACAAATTATTACAATTTTATGCTTCTTGTAATTACCTCTATGTTCTTAACAAAACAAATTGTGTTTAGACAGGTGAATTAGGTGGTGTTTGTCTGAATACTATCCATTTTTTCATTTCTAATAAGTAGATCTAAAATTGCTCAAAACAATACTCATACTCTGTTTAGACAGAAACAAAGGGTATGCATATAAATTTGTTTCTTCAACACAATTGAAATGTATATAAAATGTTCCAAAACATAGAGCAAATTTAATTTTCATTTCATTAAAAAATTATAAAAATAACAGAAACAAACTATTAAATAATACAATAGTTGAATAAGAAAATAATTAAGCGTTTGAAACAATTTTGAGAATTTCCAGCTCCCCTCTTTTTGAGTTCCTGCTATTGTCAATCTTTTTTTGCTCCCTAAATTCCATTTTGTATTTAATGTAAATAAATTAGCCATTTCATTCTTCTCCATCTATGTAGTTCTTTCTTCTGAAGTAATCATTCTGAGTGTGATGATAATGCCATTTCACTTTGTACACTACAAAGTAAAATTACATTGTAAAAGTTAGGAGGGCAGCCCAACATATATTCCACTCAATGTTGTGACTAACTACTCATGATATGGAATATGTAATTATTGTAATGTCATGTTCTTTTAACTGTATGTAGAAGCAAGTAAAAGTTCTGAAAAGAATGGTGCAATTACTTCACTGACATGAAAACTGCATAAACTTGTCCTGACATTACCAATAATCCTGTGATAACAAAATTAGTTCTTATCAGCTCATTCTTAACTTGTACAAATCAATCTTTTTTATGGGTGTTTACTTTGCTATTCTTGCCCATGTTTGTGATGATTTTGTAATGACACGGTTAACATAAAACATATTTGAGACTGCCCAAAGCATAATACTAGTTAAAATACGTTTTTGCTAGGAAAAAAAACAACAAACAAAACTGTTCAACAAAAAGTATTCTGGCATAAAAAGTTTTGGACAGACTCAAGAATGTTTTATGTTAATCACATTGGTTGAAGGGCAGAGCCACATTACTAACTTTAGGGAGTCTGGAGTCTTCAGGATTTATTGTCTACCTAGTGCACTGACAAGAATGATACAATGTTACTATTAAAATTTAACATCTGTAATGAAATGTGCCCTAGAAGAGAATTCTAACTAAAACACCCACAAAAATGTGAATTATTATACTTTGGCCAACTTTATTAGGTATATTGGGTAGTCCAAATGATTATTCTTTTTGTTAAGAGAATTATTCTTTTAACCAAAGTGCAGGATAAATGAATTACAAATAATGACAGCTGACATGTTAATTATCATAATGAACAGCAACTATACATAATAACTGATTATCATAAATGGGAAAAGTACATAAAAAAAGTAATTGGACTCTATGACTGTTCCTTGACAAATTTTTTACTCAATTACAATTAAAAATTACATTTTCAGCAAGCAACTAGTAGATTGTAGAAAGATGTATTCAAGTACAGGCAGAGAGGTGTCATTCTTGAACAAAGTAATCTTTGTTCAGCATGTTGGAATGGAGCCAAGAATATTCTCCAATACTGTGGATAGCGCCTCTTGTTCAGTCTTGTTCGTGAACTAAATGAATTTACCAACTCATTTAGTTCTCGCCGAATGAGGTAAATGAGCAAAACAAACTAAATCAGCATGTTAATAAGAAAAAAAAATCATGATTACACGTGATATAATTATTACAATTTTCTATTAAGAAGTAAATTACAAGTAAAATAGTACATTTACTGAAAGTAACCATTTAGGTGCTAAAATTACTCACAATGTAATCGTTACAACTGAATTACTTTTATTCAATTACTTCCTACTGGCCCCTTAACTTTACTGCTAATTGTTACTACAATAACAACATATGCACTGTATAAAGAGTTAATAGAGTGTGACACTATGGCAACAGAAAACAAATCCAATTTTGTCATTTGGGAGGAACCTTCAGGGTAAGTGGAGGGGCGAGCAGAATTTGTGAATTTTATTTCCTGAAAGTGCATTAGAAACCCGCTGGGAGAAGTTGTTGATTTGGGCAGGCTCAACAATTTTGCAGTCTATTTGAGGTTGGATGGGCTATTTAAAGATGAAATTTTGCAACAGAGTGCAGAAACAGATATGAGAGGAACATAACTATGTCTGAACATTGTCTGATGACTTGGATGAAGAATTACTTGGTGGCAAGGAGTATCTTTCATGTAAACATATACTTCTGCATGTACAGTATATATAAGGTCAACTGTTTTGCATTATAGAACAGGTCAAAATGGCATGGCTTTCATTCCGCTTTGCAGCCTCAGCCAAGGTCATTTGATGTAGTTTGAGTGATTAGTGCTTGAGTAAAAGACACAATCATCCACGCAGAGTTTTGTTGCCCACACAAGGAAAAGATGCTGTGTGTTGAATCACGTTGTGCAGTCCAAACACATCATGAATTGTCCTTGAATCTCAATTCTTTTCATTAATTCCCTCTCTGGTAAGTTGTATGGAGTAAGGGGATAAGGCCAGGGCAGACAATGTAAGGGGCCTCATCGTCAGCACCACCTAGATGTATCCAAAATCCAATCTTTAAACATAGGACTAAGTGCAATGGGTTCACAATCTGTACTTGTCTTAAAATTTGTACATTGTCCAATATGGGCTCATGTGTCACATTCATTGACACCATGGATAAGCAGTCTGTAGTTAGTATCAAGGTGGGTTGGAAGAAGACATAAGAGTAATAAGTCGCACAGGAGGTGGGGGAGGCTCGTAGAACCGAAAGATGCAAAGACATAAAACATAAATACAGATATATATATTTATTTATCTTACAAATACAAGATTTTTGCTTTCTCATAAAAAATATCTATTTACAATGTAATAGAATGTCTCTCGCTTATCTTGGAAGAATGCAGATGAGATTCTATTAGTCTTACACATCAAAGCGATCTAAACAGATATTGTAGCCATGATCTTCATATTCATCTTTTGAAACCAATCGGGAACTGAATTCTGGGTCCTGTGTCAGAAGCCGACCACCATTCCAGCTGTATGTTATTGGACTGAGAGAAAAATTTCAAATTAATAGATGATGGGTGAGAAAAGGAAAATGAAGGACTAATCTCAACACACTTGGGTTAACTTGCATCATAATTTTTTTTTACAGAATGTCCACATTTCCAGTGATTAATATTAAAATGAATTTTGATAATGTATGCAAATATCCAGACATTAGATCATTAGTTTTATTATAATTTGGGAGAGGGAAAAAGAAAAGACAACAATAGGTACCCTTAAACATAAGCTAACATACATCCAACACTTTTGTTTCACCAGATGGCTTCATTATTTAAAAAACAAAATACACTTATAGGAAGAAGCCTTTATTCACAGTGTTTTTATTTATTTAAAAACAAACAAACAAAAAACAACAACTACCAGGAAGGAATTATGCTGTATCAATATTTTGGTTTTATTAGTAATTCTATTTGCAGCATCTATAATCAAAATGTAATAGCTTAAGGCAAGGAAATGTCATATTGTGGTGTCAATAATAAACTGACAGGAGAAGATATACATGATATTAAGGTTATTATGAGGATTTGTTTCCATTGTTTGATGCTACTTTCAGTTATCATTTGGTTACTTATATGCTGAGATTTTCTTTCTCCAAAGTACGCAGTGAGAAAGTAAATATAGCATATGTACTGTAATCGAGGATGTCCCCAGAAATAATGAACCGATACCTTATATTTTCTCCAGTGTTAAGAGTTACTTTCTTTTAATTAAAAATATTGAAATAACAGAATTCAAAATTTTGTTAAAAGGCTTATTTTAAATGTCAAACAATGTCAATTTACAAAGATATATGGTGGAGGTGCACACTAACACACTGTAGCAACTCAAAGAGTTGACCGTGATTTCTGTTAGTTTGTGAAATTTACTTATTTCCAGGATCAATACAAAGAGATTTTTATCAAAGTAATGAATATATTGGGATTACTTCAACTTTTATTGATATATATATATCCAATATTAAAAATATATTATTATTATAATTATATATTTAATATTAATATTATTATTAAATAATTATAATTATAATTATATAAGAAATTCAAAAATCTATATTTGGATATATAAAAAATCAAATATTCTTACTTTTTTGCCAGGGTGACATTCACATCAAAATCACATGGGGCCAAGGTGCGAACCTCCTTACACACTCGATCTCTAAAACCAGGAAACAACGTGGAGCCACCCACCAACATGATGTTGCGATACAGATGAGGATGAGTCTCAGCAGGACAGACAGACAAGGAGTCCACAATGGCTTCCACAATGCCCATTTGTGTGATACCCACATCAGATGGGTTAAAAAGCAATTCAGGCACAGTGAAACGCTCATTATTGAGCCGAAGTGTTTGCTGAAATAATAAAATATTTTCAATGAAAAGAATATCAAGAACAGATAACATTTCAATACTACTTTATAAAATAAGCATTATTATGTAAATTTTACATTCAATCTGTACACCAACAACATAACTAAAATTTCATATTACGTGTTTATATGCCTTAAAGTAGAAACATTTTAAATTTTTGTATGTGCAGTAACACTTGGGATATAAATTAATTTCAACTTTTCCTGCTCACTAACATCTCCATTGTTAAGTAAAATAAATGTAGTAACATTATTATTCTGAAAACATTTTCAAAAAACTTCACAAAGCTATTTCCCAAATGGCTATAAATTATCTAGAAAAATAGTCTCAACTCATGAAAATAACTTGTCCTCACCTGGTCTCCCTCTTCCCCACTCGGAGCAACAGCTGGGTCTTTCACATAGCCACGTCGGATGGAAGTATAATCTGGCAATACATAGTCCCGTACAATAGTGTTTTCTTTACCTCTCTTTTGTGCTATTTTCATGTCTTTGTAGAAATCAAGAGAGACAAAACATGCATCTTCTTTAACTTGATTCATAACATACGTTTCATCCATTACATGGAGTTGCCTGAAAATAATGAGAATTTCTAAATTTCAGGACATTTGACTACCCTCTAAAAGGTTATAGGCAGGGATCTCTTCACAGAATTTAAAATTTTGTCAGAATTCAATGTTGTAATGCCATTCTTTGATGAGAGTATCAGTCGAAAACTGGGTGATAATCACTTCCTTGGCGATTGCCCATTTGATGAGCTCCCATGTGTTCATTATGGTACAGATTTTCTCACCCATGCATCCTTCCTTCTAACAAACATTTCCCTTAATTTTATTGTTAGATGCAGTCAGCTTTAGTCTTTCATAATAATAAATTTTAATATATAACAAAAATTAAATTAATTCTAATTGTTTTACTGTTATATAATTTATTTTTACTTACTGTAAATGAGGGGATGTGTTGTTGTCAACATTAAGTAATTATTTAGGGGTTTCAAGTGCATATTTACAAGTGTGTTATAGAGGGGAGAGGGGTTATTTAAAATACTCCAAGTTCATCACGTCGTTTCTGGATAGCCTCTAAGAGCTCTATTGCTTATCAAAATCGTCTATTAAGAAAAGGAATTAATTGTATCTTCAGTGTACCCCATTTTGCCCTTCCTGGACTGCCCAACCCTACCCTACTCCCACCCACACAGCTCTCTACTTTGCACTTCGTCACCCTACCTTGCCTTACCGCTGCTTGCCCAGATCTGCCATGTTCACTACAATCATACTTCTACCGCCACTGCTTCAGCAGGGAACTGTAAACAGTTGCACACTCCTGACATACACCCAGAAACAATTTTGACTTCCAATTATACCAAGACTAATGGCACAATGGGAAGTATTAAAAAGTATTGTGTAGAATATTTTATGGTCATTCAGAAAGAGTAAAATTATTTTATTGAATAATCTTGCTCCTTTCAAAACAATCATGGAAAACTGAAAGAGTGCACATTTATATTTTGATTTAAAGAATAGGAACAAGAGATTGAGGTCTTTTGAAATCCCATGTGGACTGTAATTTTTCTCCCATTTTGAAAATCAAATATCCAAATTTTTATTAAGATTAGAATAAGACTGCCCATTGTAGGACATAAATAAACCTTTTTATATAGTAGAAAATAATGATATGGAAAAAAAGTTGTATACATTAATACCTGACAAAATACTCTACCTTTCAGTGAAAACTATTAAATAATTTAGCCATTCCTGAAATAAGCTTGGATAAAATTTAAAAACAATTGAATTTTATGAAGGAAATAACCATGTGAGATTTTAAAAAGGCAGTAATTTTGAAATTGAACAGACACCCTGATTTCTCAAGATAATTTAGAGTAGTATTTGGTTTTATACTTAACTTATGTATTTAAAATGTATACTTAGGACACCAATGCAAGAACTCTTGCAAGTTGACCCCTCTTTCCCCTCAAATGAAAGGAAAAATTTGCTGTCAAAACAGGTCTCAAAAGAATTCATGATACCTTACAAAAGGAGGTGTATCCAAATGACACCCCCCTCCCCAATTAAAATGAAAGACTACTAAGACTCGGCATTTTGTAGATAAGAGTATGAGAATACAATTTGATCTCATTGGCTTCAAGCAACCAGATTTCAAGGGCTAAGGGTGCCCATTTCTCTAGTTGATGCTAAAAGATATAATGCCAAAGAGAAAGTATATTTAAGTCAGGTTAGAACTGCTCACCTTAAACATACTTTGATAAATATATAAAAAATATTAATATTTATAAAGTAAAAGTGCTGTTCAGTCCTCTCCCTCAAATTCTCTTGTTCTCGATTCCTCAATTAAGTTAAGATGGGTTGGTTATGAGTATTGTCAAGTGTGTATATACTACAGAAATATTATAGGCGAGTGTGCTATGATTCAATACCCCACTAAAAGATCACTTTTTCATGAAACCAACAGTGGTCACTAAATATAGATTTCATTGTATATTCATTTCTAAATATTCCAATGTGTAACTAGTACTTACCTATATGAAGTAATTTCTTTGAGGTGATTGGTAAGAACTTTGCCACCTATATCTATTCTCCTAATACCATTTTTCAGTTTTTTACCTTTGATATAAGGGACAATGTGTGTAAAACTATAACCAACATCTACTAATAAGCAGCACAATGAATTTTGGTTTGTATTGAAATAATGATAACTGGACAGGTCTCCAGCTGAAAAAATACAAAATGAAATATGAACATAAATGTACGGGAACATGATTCAGAATTGTTATTGAATGTTACCAAGTCAACTCTTATTTTTTAAAGTAACACATTTTCACATAAACATACAAATACTGACACAAATGCATTACAAATTTTATAAGAATTTATCAAAAATTATCAAGAGTTTTTCCATGAGGAAAATGAAGAGAGAAAAAAAAACAACAACATATTTTGCAAGACACTATTGACAAGTTAAATTAATTTTTATTTCAGAAAATATTATGTACGAAATAAGAGATAAAGCACGTGCAAATAGAGGGGAAAATAAAAAAAAATCTTCATTACATTTTTTGCATTTGTTAAAACTGCAAAAATATGTGACTCACACATTACATTTTATTTGCCCAAGGATACACCATTTTTATACAACTCATAAATCAAAATCACATACTTAATTATTGTTTTAATTCAATGGATATTATAGTTATTAACAAAACAAGTGTATAAAGAAGGGAATAACTGTATGAATAGTATATTCAAGAAAATGAGCAATGACAGAATCAAGTTTTCTTACATACTCTAAATCCAATTGTACCCCTTAATACACATGTTATGTTCGATATTTTTTCATTTCCATTAAAGAATAATTTAAATTTTAAGAAATTCAAGCACATCTTTACCATCCGAGTCATACATTTCATGACGTAGTTTTGCATTTGAAAAAGATCTAATTTTAGTGGTCTTTGCATTGTTTTTGTTTCCACAATATATTTGCAAATGCTAATATGCAAGTATTAAGCATATTACAGATAAAATATTAAAAGCTTATGAAGTGATGAACACGTAACTTCTCATGAAAAGTATAGACAGGTATAAGAGAGAATAGAACATGTGTTAATACTGGAGAAAAACTAGTCCCTTCTGACACAGCTACAGCGTACTTTTTAGAACGGGTAAACAGAACTGATGTTTACATTTTTTACATTCGTAATACTAACACCAAATATTTTACATGTAAAACATTTAATATATTCACGTTAAATATTATGCTGTTCCATAAGTTAGCTACCTTAATACTTGCTTCCCCAATTTAGTTTTATTCATTGTTGTTTATATGTAGTTGCTGCAGGTACGTAATCTGTGCTGTACATTTTTGTTCGTGTTTCATCGCCGACTGCAAAAACCTTGGCTACGTCTGTAATAGTTTCTTAATTAAACAATTTGGCTCCTTTTTTTAAATCTGATTGGCAGGTGTGTAGTTTTAATTACATGGTTGAATATTAATTGCACATGTGCTATTAACATAGAGATAATCAATGATTTCGCATGAAATGAATGAGCACGAAGAAAAACGTTAAACGCTAATTTGAGATCTAGATAATCACTTGATAGTTTTGATTGAAAGATGAGAATTTACTATTCTGGACATTTTAATAAGTTTTTGTCATTTCATTGTCCTGTAAAAATTATTTATAAATAAAAATGTACAACTAGGATATGTGTTGGGCAAAAAATTAGTTGACAAACCAGCCAACACTCAACAGCAGTTCCAAAGCCAATCCCTCAACGAACTTTATTGCCTTTCATTTTCCATTTTTGGAAGGAATTAACAGTTAAGGAAGACTGAAGGAAATTAGTATTTGAATGCTCTATCAGATGCTAGATCAGATATGGTATATTGATATCAGGTAAATTATTCACACAGGAATAATTTCACTTTTAAATTAATCACACACAAAATATACAAGTTTATGGAATGTTAAGTAAAATTTTCCACATAATGTATTCATTTACATGTAATATATAACAAACTCCTTTACTTGATTTCTTATGCATGTCATAAAATACACAAATTCAATTTATATCATTTGATTACATTATATAGTTAAACGTAATATTCAACAATTTAATATAAAAAGATATCTAATGAAAGCCGCAGATTTGTAAATGAAATTAAAGATAATAATCATCCAATTCAAAAGAAAGTTAAAAACCTAAATACGTCAAACAAATCAGATTTTTATTCGAAGATACATTAATAAAGAAAGTGATCTTTAGAGAATTCATACGTAATGAGATCTAGAGTAAACAGATTGAATTTTTATTTCAAATCTTTGGACTTCAAATTTGGACACTCACTAAATATGACTGATATCACACCAAACTAGGTGATGCTTTACTTCATATAAGCATTTAATTGTAAAATATATTAACTTATTTTGGTAAGGTATTATTATGTTACGAACATTTTGGTCAAGCTTAGGATCATCAGAACATTTCCAATATAAAAATAAAAGATGTTTCCACTTTCAGCCAAGGTCCTAATGTTAAGACAGCCTTATTTATATCTTTCTTCGCTGTCAATAAAAAAAATAAATCACTTCAATTGTTCCCATAAATTTTTGTTGAAAATAATATTAATGTAATAACAGTTAAATACATTTAACTTGTATATATATGATAAGCAAACTTCATATTTCAATAGTGACAAATGTGACATATTGAAGTGTGCATTCTGAAAAACTCTTGATAACAATAAAGTTCTTGGTTATGGAATTAAAAATACTCTCACACAGGCCAAATGTCTATAAAATCGTCATAGGGCAATGTCTCTATAGCGTAATGTAAAATGGGATTAACCATCACATGACCAGTAAATAATGGGTTAACAATCACATGACCAGGTGACGTGTAAATACCCTGCAATAACAAAGCATTGCCATGTCCACTAGAATGTTTATAAAGTGTCAATTTTATTAACTTTAAACTGCTTCTTTCACCAAGCTTCCATTGATTAGAAGTTGTACTGTATGTTTTTTTCATTCTCTTTAGAAATCTGTACTTCCCTTTATCAACAGTGGAAATTGACATGATTATTTTCATTATTTATGAAGTCCTTAAAAAAACACGTTCTACTTCTGAGGGTGTGGCAGAGGAAGGGGGCAAGGGATCCCAGAACTAAACAAAAAACAAACGAGGAAAGATGAGGTTTATGAAAAATGAACATTCACATAATATTTTGTAGTTACGATTCGTACCAAAGTATAATTGAATATTAAAATTATCAAAAATGAAAGATAAAAGTGTTTTAATTTGAAAAATTTAATTGCAATTTTTATAAAATTGCAACCATTGAAATGAAGTCACTTTTATTTAAAACAGGATGGGAGTTTCTAATGCAATAAATCAGGGAGGGGAGGAGAATTGTTTTGAAAAGTGGTTACAAAGTAGATGACGTCAATTGGACTCCTTTAATTGTTGTAAACATTTGCACAATCAAGTTTATGCAAAGTAATTACTACTTATTATAGTCAGTACAAGAAGTAGTAAGTATTAAGTAATTTTCTCAAATAATTAAGTAATTACAGAAGAGTGTATGTTACATTGTTTACTCACCATTTATTCTCAAAAGAGAGTGGCAGTCATATTCTTCAAAAAAGATTTCTGTCATTGCTTCCTTACAGGAGTTAAAGTTAAAATATGGCTCAGTAATAACAACAGGAGTTTCTGGGAAGTTGACAGGTAAACATTCAGCACTAAAAATGTAGTCCCAGATATTTTTCTGAACATCCCAATTAATTAAGTAACCCTAATAAAAGTGAAAACCGTATTAATAGAGACTGAGTTATTTAATGCTTAAAGATATACTTGAATAGTTGATTACAAATTTATATTTAATAACTCTATCCTTGCATCACAGATCTTTTTTTTTTTAAACTATGTAGATTTCTCTGACCATATTTTACAATGATTTTTATAAGGAGAGCTCTTAAAACAGAAAAAAAGAACATAATAAACATTCAAGAACAAAGTTTTCTTTATGAATGACTAATGACCTTTTTTTTTAAAAAAAAACATTCTTCACATGGTGCAAGATTCACGCATTTCTACATAACTTCCAACTGTCAAATATTGGGGTAAGTGCATTTCGCTGTTAAGCTAAATACTCAAAATCAATTTAAAAAAATAATACTATATATTAATAATGGCTTGATCAAAGAACAAAAACAATTGTAAAGAACAGACAATACTATACAAACAATAAATAATTACATAACATGATCAAATCTTAATAATTTGAATAAATGAAACATAAAATACCTTTGATTTGATTTATTCAGTCAAAAAACATTAAAAATCTGTATGTGACCTTTAAAGTAATATTACAGAAAAATCTTATTTACATATTATCCAACAAAAATAATACAATTTAGAAAAAAGATAATTTAACTATTTACCTTTTGAAAGGGCAAGATGTAAAATAAACCTGATGCATCCCTACACTCCTCTACTTGATCTCCGATGAAAGGTCTTCTTCTTTCGCTTTTTGCTTTCATAATACAGTTTGGAATTATTCTAAAGGGATGGAAATATTTGAGAGAGTAAATAATAACAATAAACAATCTAATAAGTCACATACATTTGGCAAAGTAAATTAAATTTCTGGGGTTATACCTGGCGTCATCTGATGATGCAAAACCAGCTTTCGCAGTACACGCCCCATTATCCAAGACGAATACATCATCATAATCCATTTTTACATTTGAGACAGAGGTTTCACCTTCACCAACAGCGTAAAATCAGATATATTCTGTTAACAAACACAAAACATTATCTGACCGGCAGAGCTTTATTTTGTAAAAGTACATTGAACAGTGTTTATGTACACTACTGCCATCTATGGTGAAGATCAGAAAGTAATATGAGCTCTGTAGGAGCACTCCTGAACTAGAAAATAAATGAAGTTCTTGGAGGGACATTCAAATTCTACAAGTATTTTAAGAAAAAAGGGGACCATTTGAAAAACAAAATAACACAGAAGAATGAACAGGAATTTAAATAATGTCGATTTAATAAGATATTTAATCAATATTATGGATGTGGGAAGATTATTCAAGAAATAATAAATTATTATTAAATGAATTATAAGTGCGTAGAAACGAATAATATTTCTGTAGATTACTCCACATGTAATCATTACGTAATATTCTTCTTCGAGTGAAAACTCATTAATGAAGTAGATCCAGGCGCCGCGCACACGAACAATGATAAAAACCAGTCTGACGGCCGGGTTCTGACACGCACGCACACCTCCGTTTACCCCGTCCCTTACCTTCGGGACGGCGCGTCGGCGCCGCTCGTCGGAGGCGGGATCGGGGCCGGGGGCCGGGACGGGGACGGGGGCGGCGTCGGCGGCGGGCGGGGCGCTG